AGATTGGCGTAGGGAGTAAAGCATTAATCCCCAGAGGGACATGTGTGGTAAAGTGATAGAGATCACGCAGTCGTTCTCTGAAGCTTAAGAAAGCCATCAGTCTTCTAACAAGGGTCAGATCAACCTGCAAACAACTCAACAAGAGGGAGGCGTTCCAAAATGATATTCCATACCTCCAGCAGGAAGACAGATAATGATCCATTAAAGAAATGAATGCTGGGAAAATTCAAAATGTGAATATAAACTTCAGGTTGAGGCCTCTCTTTAGCATTTCATCTTGCTACCTTTACATTCATGTACAATCCTTGTATACAAACATTTATACAACAATGTCGAAGTTGAGAATAATTTAATGATGTGCTAATTGGCATTGCATATCTAACTGTGTCCACAATACTGTCAAAACACCTAGATAGCACACACTGTTCTATTGTTTGTCCTTATCACATAAGAGGTCAAACACCCGTCTATAGGTCAAGTCATGTCAAGGGTCAGATCGACAGAGGTCAACAGGTTTTCTCAGGTCTCTTGAGCTTCTTATTGATCACAGAGTAAACAGATAAGGTAGCACCAGTAGCTCATAGTCTTTCAAACATTCAGATCCATCTTTGAAACCAATAGAGCCATACTTCATTTAAGTGGTTGTTCAACTGACTTGCAAAGGCTGTTCAAATATTGTTCTATTACTTTGTAATAATCTGTTTGCAAAAAGCAACACATTGAAACAAAGTTATCTCACTTGTAAGCATTACATCCCACTTTTATATTAATCATTTCCATGGTTTAGTATTTTATTATTTCAGGGTGATCTTATGACATTTTCTATGAAATGTAATCCAGTCTTTCGGAGGTGTTGAAGCCTTTTAGAGGAGTTGGTTTGCCGTCAGACTCAGAGACAAACGGCAGCAGCTCTGACGATGTCCAACTCTATACACAGCGCAGGAGGAAGCCTCCTTGCCTTCACACTTGTCCCACAAATCTTGCCTTTACATACAGTATGTAGCGAAAAATAAACACATTTTGCCTCCCCTGGCCTGTCTGTCTTCCCTCTTTCTGCTCCGTCTCTCCTCTGCCTTAGTCATATGAGGGTGTATAAACACGATCCTGTGTGGTTCAGCGAGCACAGAGACAGGATATGAGAGTGATTCCCCTCACCTCTCCCTTTTGAACATGCGTCACAGACGGTGAAAGGTGGCTCTTTTCCAAAAAAGGGCCACACGGGGGTCAGATCTGCTCTGCTGCGTGTCTGTTAATACAGTTTCAACCTCAGCATCCCAGCAGAGGAAGCAGAAACCCCCTCACTGCTCAGTATGGACCCTTCACAACTCAATCATATCTCAATGTACACACTTCAACAACTGAGATGTAACAAGGGAAATCAAACACACTGAAGGAGGTGGAGGTTCAACTAGGACCCTGGAGTGGCAAAAGGGCCCAGACAGGATTATAAGAAGTAGAGTGAGAACATAAGGGGACGGGGGTCAGGTGAGTGCTGTGTCTAGAGAAATTATTAGGCAAATATTTTGATAATAGGTCAAGTCATTTTAAGCAGAAATGCCAAGTATTTTATTGCTTCCAGCTTAGAAATGTGAATATTAGCAAATATTCAGAGCTTTTCTTCATACATAAAATTAATATCTGTAGGTTTTGCATTATCACTCCGACAAAAAATCTCCTTGGTTTTTATTGGATGCTGTTTGCCCTTTAATCTTGTTTCTAATGTTTTAAAGTCCAAATGATAAGAAACTAAGCAAATAGTTGCAACAGTAGTCCAATGACAGGATAACTTGTTTAGGCAGAAATGGTTCCAGCTAATCAGTACTCTATGTGTGCTGTTTGTTGTATCTTCCATGAATTCAAACACAATATCTTTGGGTTTTGGACACTTGGTTTCGCACTATAAGCAGTTTGTGTACAGTATGTCCATTTGGGATTATAAAAGTTTTAGTGGACACAGACCAAACAATGAAATAATCAATCAAGAAAACAATCTACTGATTAGACCTTACGACAGCAGTTTCAATTGAACTCTCTGCCCTTTGCTGCATGTTGTGCACTCTTTCTTTTTTCCGGGAATTCCTGTTCAACTATTCTATCCAATAACAAGGCAGAAAGCCAGCAAAATAAATTCCAAGAATCGGGGAGGGAGCTCTGAAACTGATCTTGAAGCTTGTAGTGGCCCAACACATTGGTAAAACATTGTTTGGGTTATTTGGTCACCCAGTGATAATAATACATTTGATTTCTATAGCGCTTTTCTTGAACACAAAGACGCTATTGATCTGTAGATGGAAGGCAACTCAAGGAAAACTGATTGCTTAACACCTTCAAACCAGCTCTAAAACTAAATATAACAGCAAGAAGTTGGAGCAATGTAATTTGGCCTGTAGGTAATAATTTAAATCAAATTTTGGCAAGTCTTGCATTACAACCAAAGCCTCTGATGGAGGAAGCAGTGAATGAATCAACCAGGGAATTGAAGAGGAGGAGAATAAAGAGGAAGCAGAGATGTGTAGGGAGGAGCCTGGATGGAGAGGTGTTTCATAAGCACCCATCGCCAAATCTTGAACCTCGGGTTGCCAGGTCCCAGCTGTTAGGGTGGAGAAACTTTAAGGCTGATTCACAGGAAAAGTGTACATAACACCGGTAAATGGAAACCCGGGAACACATTTTTCATTGGCAAGTCTCATTTAGCCAGGCCAATTATCTTCCTTGTCTGTGTGCTTACCCACTTAAATATGTGAAAATGGATTTAGATAAAGTGGCTATCATACTGAGTGGGTGAAAGAGCACAAGTCTGAGAGATATATGTAGTGTGGCAGTAAGCTGGAGCCAATCAGACGATGTTCCGGGCTCTTAAGTCAACTGTGTCAGACACTGTCAGCTTCACTTACACCTATCCCTGCACAGCCCCCATAGCACCACATTACTAAATGACTATCTAATAACCCATCCCAGGCTCATTACTCAAACTCAAATTGGAGCAGTTTAGATCCAATCCAAGATCCCTTCACAGCACTTTAGATCAGAAATATACAGGGCTGGCCATTAAAAAAAAAAGTCATCATTTTCAGTACAGTGACTGCTGCTCATAAATGTCATAAAGCTGGATTGGTGTGATGGGGGAGCAGAAGCAGGGAAGAAGGCGAAGGGGGGAGTACAGGAGAGAGGGGATTGGAGTGAAATGAGAGAAAGTAAGAGACACAAATCTAAAGCAGTGATAATGTAAGCATGCCATCTAGTGGTAAAAGGTATTTATTTTCCTGAAAGAGTTTGGAATACATGATTTTGTGAAGTTGCCAGGCATCACAAAATGTAGAAAAAGTCAAAGTATGATTGTATTTCCATAAAATGAATAAAGACCCAGGCAGCATGAACAGCAGTAGTAGACTCTTACTTCGGAACAAAGTCTTGGGAGCTTCATGATAAGACTGTGTTTTCTCCACTGAATGAAGTCAGCCGTCTTACTTGAATAAAGTGTTTTTTCAGCAACCAATATTTCCACCACAATCTGAATCTCACGATTTCATGCTCTATTCAGCCGGAACCCAACAGTTGCAGACACAGCAGACAACTCGACAGTTTATTCTTAAGGAGAGTGCAGACCACAGTAGAGATCAATGTGGTCTAAAGACAAAATAATTACTTTCAGTCAATAATCCAGATATGGGGTTTGATTAAAAGCATTGTTGGCGAGTGCTGTGTTAAATCCCCCATAACTCTTTCAAACTTGTTCTGGTAGGGATGATTATCTGAATGTCGGCTGATGTTACAATGTGAAACGGATCGGTCACACCTTCTATGTCCAGGCCAGCCTCACACATCCTGCATGTGATATCATGCCCATCACAAATACCTTCTGAAGCTTAATGAATATATAGCACAGAGAGGACCCCAATTAGTGGACCAGCGAGAGGGGGGAGGCGCCACGCCAAACCACGTAAACAAACTTATCCTGACAGGGTCGCTTGTACAAAAAGGGGGGAGATAGGCGGATAGCGAAGGAGGCAGAGAGAAAATGAATTACCTTCCTGACACACGTCAAAGCCAATCACCGCGGAGCATCCCTCGCCGTTCCCGCGCCCCAAAATCCCCGTCGCCACCGTTGTGTTTCATCTGCTAGTGTTAGTATGCACACAGGCCATGCGCCAGCCTCCAAATGTATTCATTTATTCAGAGCCCCTCGGAGAAATCACAGTGTCTTGTTGTCCTTTTTTTCCCCCTTCCCCGTCTGTCCAGATGGAATTTGCGTGAATAACATCAGTTTAGTGAGGCAGAAAATAAGTACAGGCTAGCACAGCAGAGGGGACTAGATTACACCCACCTCCCCAAAAAATAGAATGGAAAGACAAGTGTCACCTTCATACACTTCTCTCTCCGTCTCTGCCTCCCTTTCTCATTTTCTTCTCCGGGTCTATTCAAACTAATCAGGCGGGTTGAGAGATCTGTGCAGCTTTTTGCAACAATTATTTTGTATGCAGGTTCAATTAAACAGAAGATCATGAATCAAAGAACTAGAGCGGCTTTTTCATTACAAAAAGGTGAGCGGCCATCAAGGGAGTGCAGCCCAATGCTCATTTATCCGTGTTTTGTTTTGCATTTATAACGCAACTAATTGCATTAATTAATCAGATGTAGCCCTAATAGGAGGGAGAGCATCTTGCTCAAGCAATTGAATGAGATGAAAAAAAACTGTAAATCAATATTTCCAACCTCAATAAAGCCCAGAGGAAATTAAAACGTCTTCAGTCAGGAGAGTGGGAAGCCTCAATATTTGTTCAGCCTATCAGAAAGAATTCACTACACAGCCTTGAAGGAGTAATTGTCTTTAGTGCAAACTCTTGAAATTGATTTCAATAGAATCTGTAAGAAGTGCTTCGCACGCGCCTGAATCTTTAACAGAGAAAGGCGAGTGTGTGATCTCATTGGTGGTCACTTTGGTTGTGATTACTATGAATGATGAATATGTGAGAGAGAAAAGCAAACATAGAGAAACCTACCTCTCTGAGGACCGTGCTGCTGTATCCTCTGTACAAGCCTCGGAAACCCTGTGCAAAAATAACAGGACACAACAAAATTACAATAACAGAAATACAGAAAATGTTAATGAAATCTCAAATTTTAACTCAAAGGCACAAGACAGTATAACAAAAGTGATTGTTGTACAAGCAGCAGAGTTCAATACACACCCAATGAAATGTTTTAGTTTAAGATTCTGTAAAACAAATTGGAAGGAAAATGGTATAATAGTTACACCTTTTTATAACTTATTTCTCTCAATATGGCCTTTCATTTCTACCATCTTTGGTGACATTTTAAAATGTCATCATAAACGGCAGAACATATTTGACTCATTAAAGTTACTGGGTTGGGATTTAGTTATTGGAACAACCAGAGAAGTTGCCGGATGGTATTAATGATAGGAATTGTGACTAAATCCACATTAGAAATAAAGATCAGAGCAATAATAAACTGGAGTTATGATTGAAAAGTGCCTTTGACTGCTGCATACCTCCTCTCTGAGTGTAGCCAGCAGCATGTTGTAGGTGGAGGAAGATGGAGAGGCCTGGGTCCTCTGTTTGACCACCTCTGTGGGCACCCGGATCAGACACGCCACCTACAGGTTGGAAAGAACACGGATTAACCACGACCAAGGAAGAGCGCCAGGCATTGAAGCACATTTTGGTGGTGACAAAACCAGAGAATTACAACTTCTGTGTCGGTCACGTGATGCCATGCTCAGCATTTTCAATCCTGCAAATTGAACCGATATCCCACATTTGATTGACAGTCGCCATTGTAAAACTTGCCTTTTATCCAATGGCTAATTCAGAAAGCAGGATAGGGCTATCACTATTGCCTGTGTCAGATCAATCAACACAAGAAAGGGTGGGGTCAAGGGTTCACTAACCTGTTTTCAACGTAATAAGCTATGACAAAGAAAAGGAGTTGCAGCTACTAAAAGTGTGATGAAAGTATTTATTTATGTGTGAAGTCGGGGAAAGCTATTCTCTTAGAGTTTTTTGTCAAATGTGCTTTAGTTTTATTCCAATCGCGAATGCAGGTGATTGAATATGATTTGGAGCGACACACCACATGCAAGACTATTTATACGCTAATAACTCTCAGCACCTAAATTATTAGGTTGCAAGTTATTTTCTGTCCATATTAATGATCATTGAACAGCCAGGACGCAGCGAATGGAAGCAGGCTTTAAGGAAAACACAAGCTTTATGGGCACCATGGATGGGGAAGATCACTTGAAAACATTTTTACACTCAAAAGTTGAGCCATTTTGACTTCATGTGCCACTGAGCAGCTTTTATTATAATGAACGGGGCCCTGCCTCTTACGCTGTATCCAGTTAGCTCATGCTCATCTTTTACAGTAAAGCAAGTGAAGACAACATCATTGTTCCTTCATACATCCATGGGTGGTAGCAGTAGATACTGTCCAATGGTTTTGCCAGAATAAATACAATCTTAATTTACACTCGGTATTTCCTTAAAAAGGGTTTTTCGATATCCATATTGTTCTTATTGCAAGTGGGTGTGTCAGGAGCCACACACTATGTCCCAGGTGCCGCCCAGGTACAGAGTGCTAGCCTGTGTTTCTTTCTACATGGCAGGTGGCCGTGATGTGGCACAGCCTGAGGAGAGCAATTACATCAAGCCGGCGGGCTAACGAGTGCTGTAGTTAGAGTCGAGCCAATTAACAAACTAGTACACACAGAAGACATGACACCTGAGCAACAGGTTAAAAGTTCACCTGTGAAAAACATGAAAAACATGCATGCGCTGCCATCAAAACTCATAGTTTCAGGCTCACCTCAGTAACCACACTCCCCGCTACAAGTTCCAACCCATCCGCTATGTGTCAACAAAAATATGGACTGCCAACAGCTAGTGAAGACAGACATGAATATTTATGCTTCAAACTCCCATCGCCCTAAAGGCAGGCGGGCGGGCACAGCTGCCCACCTGGCGACTTGATTTTCCATTTATCCTGCACCGGAGCGGAAACACCGGCTAACGGAGAGCAATCTCACAGAGCGATTGGTGAGACAGCCCCCTCGCTGCGACTCCCCCACGTTATAAAGATGCCAGTCTGCTAGTGCCACCCTCGCCACAGCAGCAAAAAGAGTGATGTAGGCATTGCAATAAAGATACAAATGCTACTCAATCCTGTTCTGCTCCATCTCCATTCAGCTATCCATACTGATTTAGCGTTTGGGCGCCTCAGGTAGTTCTGGAGGTGATGGACCCTGGAGGATAAGACTCTATTGCGAGGGGGGGAGAAGGCTACTCCGACAGCTGTTAGAGGGCTCCCGTCTGTCAACCACTCTACCCTCTCCAAGACACCAAGGACACCTTATGAGCAGGAACGTGAATATTTGTCGAGCAAAAAAGGAGAAGTCAGCAGTCCTGGAAGTCAAGTGAAATCACAGACTAGGCTGAAGGAGACCTTGCAGACATGACATGGAAAAAGATCATGCGTCTCTTAAAATATTATTGACTATCGATTACTATATGCTGCATTACTTTAGTTTGACCTTCGCTGCAACACTTTCATTGTTGGTTCTTTTGCTTTTCAATACAACATGAGAACATAAACCCTCATTCTGTGTACATGAGAGCAAAAACAAAAGAGCGATCCTGTTTGGTATTTCAGGTGACCATAGTCTAGCTGCAGCATTCCCATGGTGCAACAGTACCACCAAGTGGCCTGACTGGTTTATCTGCATTGCCTTGTAGAGATAACTAAAGCCGGCTGCATCTATCTCAAAGATCTCATTTGCCCTCCCTTTGGTCAAGTAACCATTTATAATACATTGTACATCATTTTCCCCCCCTAACAAATTCTCCAAAGGACCGGAATAAGGCAGCTAAATAGAAAGAAAGTGCCTATGACAAGTAATTACTGATGTAATTGGATCGGGGGCCTGGAGTTGAGACCGCCTTTCCGCCGCTGTCACTGCAGAAGGGAAGGCAAAATGAGCCAGAGATTATACTAAATAAATTAGGGACATTTTTTATTTGGGAGCCATTTGTGCGTCTACGGGAGGAGAGAATGATGTCGAGTGGATAGAAGATAAACCTCAAAGCCTTCGAGACCCTTTCAGAAGAAAGCAGCAGCAAATAGGGGAACAATGCTGATAAATCCAGGCATGATAAGATAAGGCTGGGGCTTTAAAAGGATAAGAGTCTTATCGGTGTATGTCATCATATTTTTAAAAGCCCACCAAAGTAAAAAATGAAAGATTTAGATATGTGTCCCTCATGTTTAGGAGAGGGCTGTACGTGGAGAAAGCTGTCAGGAAGACAGACGCCCGTTTCTTCACCTACTTTGCCTGCCCTTCATTCTCGATGCTTTCCTCTGGCGTGTAGAGTTATTATAAATCCGTTGGCAGTCTTTTAAATACCTGCAACCATTCATCTTTATTTACAAGCCGTTAGGTTTGTCAGGCAGCGTTAATTAGGAGGCTGCCTGCCTGTGATCGGAGCCTCTCAGTTTCTCATGGCCTGTTGTTGTTGTTGTTGTTAATCCAAATGACAGAGCGCGTTTTCAATTTCCAGCCCTGGCCGCCAAACAACAAGGTGAGAAGACGGCGCTCAATCACGGGCGAACCACAGTGAGGAATGGGAAATTAGCAGAGACTCACAGCACATTATGGGCATAGACGGCGAATCAATGCACAGATTGAGTCATTACATCCCTCAGACCCCCACCCCCCTCGCTCCATCCCTCTTTTACCGCTCATGGAGGACACAGTGGTCAGTCAATCAGGAACAGAATTATCATTTGGCGCCATAAAGAGACAACAACAGGTTGGAAAAACATATTGGCAGCCACAACTGTTATGGGCCTCAATTATTTGGATTTATTTGTCATTAAAATATACTGCATTCACAAAACAGACCATTTGCCAAACAGGAAATACTGCAGTCCCACATGTGAAGAGAAAATGGTCCTGGCCTTAGCTTACTTCAAATAAACACAATAAATCCAGCTGAAAGACTCTTTTCTATTGATCATGAGACAATACGTTGGACTAAAGTTGAATGGTAGAAAAAGTGTGTCTTCCAACTCGATGGCATACCAATACCAATTCCAATAAAGCTCATATAAAAACTCAATATCTCCATCTTTGCCCCTGAAACACACTACAGTATGTCCCATCACATGAACCATATTCCCATTACTTTTTTCAGGATTTTTGCTCACACGCCCACAACTAGATATGCATGATAATACCAAGGTAGACTGAAATACGGGTTGAAAAAGAAAGGAAGGAAGAGATGGAAGAAAAAAAAGGTCATGAAGAAAAGGGGAAGAGATGAGGACGCCGAGTGTCTCCAACTTTGAAACAGCCAATAAATCACAGAGTGTGGCGCTGCTCGAAGGCGATGCATGGATTATTTCTCAGTGCCAAGTTAAGTGGCTGCCAGTTTCTACCCCCAAAACTCCTCCCTCCTTCTCACTGTCCCCCCATCTTGTCATGTCACACTGTATTTTCCAGTACATCCTCGCACAGACATGTGCTGGTGAGGTGTTGGTGGAGGTTGTGGTGGTGGTGGTGGTGGGGGGGGATTTATAGATGCGAGAGAAACCCGCCGCCTGGCCTTGACAAATGAGCTTTCAGGGCAGACGTCGAGCGAATGCGAATGAAGATAAATCTGATCTAATGGCTGGATAACAGCCTGCTAGAGCCTGACAGACGTCATCAGCTTACACATTCTTTATAGGAGCGTCCCAACGCCGCACTCACACAAACACCAGGACGCTTGAGCGAGGGGAGATTTCTCTCATTGTCTTGACCCTCTTGTTCTTTTATGACTTTCCTCCTCTCTGTCCTCACCGTTTCTGTCTGTCCTGCTTCTGTCTGCAAGTTAAACAGGGCGTTAAGTAGGTTCATAGAAAGGGAATTAGTTATGACATGTGAAGACCATTACCAAACAGCTGGAGTACATTTCTGCTTTGTATCTGTACCCTTAAGTAGAGTTGCACAATCAACCCAAAAGATCGCAATATGGATTACATTTGGAATATCCAAATCGTTGTAAGCTAAATATTTGGTAAGAGCAAAATATGAAAAAATATCCTTCCGATTGAAGTATTGTGGAGCTGAGATAAGTCCCTAATACCAAGCAGTATTCTACAAACTTTATAAAATAACCCTATTTGTAAATGGTTATCTAAATAAAGTTCCAAAAATCGTCATTCTCTTTAGTTTGGTGAATCATATTACTATTGAAATGTCAGTCAAAACAATCGCATTTCGTTATTTGTTACGAATCAGAAAGCCATCTAAACTACACAATTCAACCACCTTCAAAACCGAATTTAGTTGATGAACGTATTTAGTTAGTGAACTTTAAATCTATTGTAAAAAATGGTTCATGGAAGTTCTTGATCATCCATTTCACATATTACTCTGATGAGGCTTTTTCTTACTGTTTATGCTGGATGAATATCTGTTAACCTAAAGGCTCGACAATAAAGAAAAGAGTGCTTGGATGCAAGTATGTCCAAGAATTATCTCATACTTCCAACAAGTTATATCTCCCTCTGGTATGATCATAACACACTGAAGTACACATCTAGTAAGTGTGTGCCAAGTGGAGTGCATCATAGATAGAGGGGGGCTTGGGGGGTTTGGATTATTAAAGCAAAAAGTCCCATAAAACCCCTGTTGTGAATGTTGCTGAGTGGAAACAGTTGGTAAAACATAACTAAATGGACTCCTGGGGAAAAGGATGATGGGCTGATGAAGGGGTGGAATGGGGAAGTGAGGACATAAACCAAAAATCAAGTAGCTTCTCCTGCTTCTTTAAGTTTCTGTGTGTCAAAGCCCACGCAACAGAAAGACCAGCAGGTGGAGGGGACCAGGGAAACACAATGGTGACCCTTGTCTTTTACTGGCATGACGGAACATGTAATGCAGAGTGGAAGATAAAACTAAATGTTGATGAAAATCTGTTTGAGTTTGCGCGGAGTAAAAAAAAACAAAAAAAAACGTTTTAACAACATGTTTATTTATTGACTTTTCATTCCTGTATAATCCTTTTGTGCAAAGATGGCACTGTTTGTCAGAGCACTTCATCCTTCTGGGATTTCATGAAGAACAGCTCCAACGCCTGTGTGTATGGGAACGCCTCTGGTGCTGGGCCATGAATATATTATGCAAAACAATGTACGATGGAAAAAAACAAAGGGATGAGCAATACTTTTTTCTGTTCATTTTCAATATAGGCCAAAGTGACTTTTATAGATTCACTGTATCATTCAAAGCCAAAAGTTATTCAATTTACAATTACAACTAACAAAGACAAGCGGACAACACTGCTAATTCAATTCATTTCGATAAATAAGTAAATGACTACAGTTGTTTCATCACGAGACGAAACAAATGCATCACACCCACTTGCCCAAGGCTCAGCAAACTTATGTAAGACCCTTGGTGAAATAACTTTTAATCAAAAATCTCAGTCATATGGCAGCAATTGCATCATAGTGCGGGCGTTTAGGCCTTTCATACGAGTCGAGGGCAACACCGGGGTAGGCCTTTCATGGCTAAGCCTGAAGATTACTCTCTTTGAACAAGACGTATCCAGTTTTCCTCAGAATGCAGTGGGATACCGCCCCTGCTCTGCTGAGCCCCACTCCGAGGATTTGTGCCTTTGATGTGCTCAAATCCAGAACAGCGGGGTTAAAGGTAGCCGCAACCTCAGCCTCACCTTTCACACTCAAGTTCCACAGACAAAAAGTGCCCAAAATGTTAAAAGATGCACTCCGGCCTTATCTGCAAAAGAGTGGTGCAGGAATGAGTCCTAAAACCGGTAATGAGTCAGCATTTTAGCACTTCTGGATTTCCTCGTCTCATAGTACATCGTTTTTTTAGTTAGTTGACATGACAAAAGGGCGGTGGTTAATACAAGCTTACTAGATTTTGTAATTTCGTCAAAAAATACCCACTTGTGAGGATCTGACATTTTTATGCATTTTAAAAACAGAGATTGCTAACAAGTGGCTAAACGGCAAACACGAATCCCCATTTAGCATTGCGTTGGTGCAACCAAGATTTTGTTTCCCTAACATAAGCTATTTACCTGTGGCAATATTTACGCCTCAATTATGATAAAAGTGGTGTTAATAGAGACTATCTTGCTGAACATAGAGGTATCAAAAAGTGTGTTTGCCACAAAGCTTTTTCTTTGATGTAATGGAAATATCCCATTGCCTTTTTGAGAGAGCACTTGCAATGCTTACTTCCATTCAGCCTTCAGAAATACGTCAGCCCTGCACCACTCTTTAGAGTAACTCTGTGAGACACCAAGACACCGCTAAACTCAAGTGAGTCAACACAATCCCATATGGAATAATCCATTTCATAAACATGCAAAAACGTGGCTAAATTACATCCATCCAAAAGCCATGAATACTAAAAACCCAGTATTTTGAGGAAAGCCATGGTGGTATAGCAGGGGGGCATTCCTTTTTCCATTCCTTCCCCATCCCTCGACCCCCCTTCATGCCAATGTGAATACGCGTGGCCCCCATATGGCTCAGATCCTGAGGTTCACTGCGAGTGATTGGGACAGGATGGACTGAGGAAATTGCGCTGCTCCTCGTTTGGTTTCAAGACTGAATTCCCCAGATCAAATTGGCGGAGTCTGGGGGTCTGAGCTGGGAAAGTATATGAGTAAATAGGCAGTAATGAGTTCTTATTTACCCAGCAAGTGGGGGAAATGATGGGACAGTCTTGAGGAAGCCCCCTTAACTCGCCCAGCTGGACTACGCTGCCTAAAGCCAAAACCGCATACTCACCCTGCTCCCCCTGTCTAGTGGTCTGTGAAATTTTAAAGGCAATTACGTCAACAGACATGCCAATGGTGTTCATAGGGGACTTGTGGTTGTGGGAAAGAAGCAAAGAAGGGAAAGAGTGCATGGAAGAGCAACAACAATACAAAAGGCAGCTGGCCTTCTGGAATGACTAAAAGGGGGTCAAACAAACATGATTTCAACAAAATCCAAAGTGGAGGAGGCAAAAGTTGGAAGAATGAAGGACACTTACTACTTCTCCGAGGGAGGCGGCCATCATGTGAGTGACAGGTGCCGCTTGTGGAGCTGCTAGCCCCCTCCCTGCGCCGAGCAGGGACTTTGTGAATTCGTAGGTGACAAAGAAAGCAGCGGCTGAAACCAAGCAGAACCACAGCCATTTAAGGCCCATTAGTCAACCAGCATACAGCAATTAATATCCCTCACTACCACTGACAGGGGAGAAACTGCGGTGTGAGTGTGTGTGTATATGTGTGTGTGTCTGCTTGTACAATTAGGGTAAAAGCTAAGAAAGTTAAGTGTGTGTCATGCGGATAGAGTTCGGTTCTTTTATACTCCCATTAGTCACATAAATTCATACGGCAAGAGTGTTCATTTATAAACTGCAGCAAATTGATTTTATTATATTCAAACCAACACGATAGGACTTTAACGTCTTATCTTTATCAGTCGTTCTCTGGTATGCACTTCAAAAAGGGCAGTCATACTGATTATTGCAGCTGTTTGATTGAATCATTGATTATGACTTCTTTCAACCGAATATTTTTCTTTAAAATAAGAAATGAACTTGGTGCATTTTCAATCACAAACATGTAAACGTTTGTTTATGCTGTGAAGAAACTTAAATTAGAGTGGTGGATGTGTTGAAGCTTCTAAAATGCAGATGATCTACTTCCCACCAACGGGGTTATCAATATGTTTTTTACATTACATGTTACTTGTTAGACGCTTTTATCCAAAGCGACTTACATGCTCAATACTGTGGGCAATCCCCACAGGAGCAATTTGGGGTGAAGTGTCGACATGCTGACTGCAGTGGGGTTTGAACCTGTGCTCCCCCTGATCCGAACACCAACGCACTAGTCCACTGCGCTACACGATCATCAGAAAACTTGATGAGCAAAGCTTGGATAACAACATTGACTGATACTCTGCATTTGGAAACAATTTGATATATCCTAAAAGATAGACTGGGGGAATTGGAAAGGATGTGGGGTCCAATGGTTTCATTCATAAGGGGGACGGTCGGCTGAGATGCATTGCACAAACAATCGTTTTTTAATGGCTTGGGTGGCACTGTTCGGGGAGGGAAGGGTGGGGGCGGCGGGGGTAGTCTGGGCTCGTTTGCGCCCTTTAAGTTTCTTTGTATGTATACTATTGTGTATGTTCTTTCCCACTATGACTATGTATGTCATTAAGTATGGTATTCCTGTCATGCTATGTTTTTTCTTTATTATTTCTTGTTGGCTGTTCTGTTTGTCTTCTATGTTGAAAAAGAGAAGCATGATTTCCACCCCAAAGAAGTCTGTACTATTGCTTACACTTGTATGCTTCTTCTCAATACAAATATTTGAAACGAGAAATCTTGGTGAGCAATCTTGGTTCCTTGGTTAGTTCTTCAATCAGCACTCATCCTGTCATGCCTGTATTTATGTTCAGAATATAGACTTCATGTATCTTTGGTTATAGTGCATGTATTAACTAGGTGACAACAAATAGAGCGTTCAAGTTTTAAATGATTTGACTGGGCAGTTTATATAAGTGTCATCTTACAGAACAATCAAGCTTTCAATGATTATATGTCAGTGTTAATGTAACTCCAAATCTTCATTGTCATATGGACCTAACAACAGGGCTGCTGCCATTTTCGGAAGTTATTTGGACTTAGGACTTAGTCTATGTATGACATCCTAATTCAGTACTCACGTGTGTAAATCCCATAGTTAGTACAGTTCTGTAATAGCTTAATTCCTATCCTTAAATGTTTTTTTTCCGAAATACAGTAAGGAAAAATGCTTCTGTAATGTCATCCTAAACTGGGTTTCTGCAAAGAGGCCCCTAGTGTACATAACTATCACGTGACCAAAGCATCCTCAAAAGCAAGGAACAAAAGAGTCCTTAAGGGTGATCTCCTCCAGAAAATAAAGAAGAGGAGTTTGCCACCACTTGAAATCAAACTACTTTTAACTGAAGAACTAATCCATGCAACACACAGCCACAAACCAACAAAAGTCCACTAGTGGCCCTCTGAATAATTCTCACTGTGCTTTTACTTTAGACAAGGTAACAAGGTAATCCATGTGCAACAGTTAAAAGAAGCTCTAAGCTCTCAACACAAACAATGGAGGTTATGATCAGCACATTGCAAGGTTATCTCTGGGAATCACCCCCGCCCACACACAAGGAAAATTACTTTAATTGTGTGGTATGAATATCAATTACCAACAACAATGAACAATGGAGCTTCAAATCATATATCTAGCTATCACAGAGCGTGGTACCATTAGGGAAGGACCCGACAGCAGCAGATGGGACTCCAGCGTAGACGCCCCTGAAGCCTCCTGCCTTTTGGAAGCCCTGCGGACTCTGCAGTCGTGTCTTAATGGTGTCCAAGGGGAAGAGGGTCAGATCCACACACATCCCCGCGCAGCCCCCCGCCTGGAAAAACAATCACTTTGTGAGATATAATGCTGCTTTACACACTCAATCACACCAGTGGTGGGAGATACAGATATTTTACTTAAAGAAGAATTACTTGGAGGCAAGCTGTAAATGCAACGCTGACATATAATCATCTTATTGAGTGGATAACCACCAGACTAAGGGGCAGTTTCATCCCACAGGCCATAAGACTGTTAAACACCTGAACTTTTGAAAGAACATCCATAACATTCATCTGTCAAAGCACTTTGAATTGCCTTGTGTTGAAAAGTGCTATATAAATAAACTTGCCTTGCCTTGCCTTGTTTGCAACTCATATATATTAATATTCCAATTACTTGTATATAGACAACTCTGCACTATTATATTATATGTAATTGTATTTACTTGCACTATTTTATCTGTTTTATTGTGTTGCACTGTTGGAGGAGCCTGTGACCTAAGATGTTCATTGTCATAACTACACTATGTGCAAATGACAATAAAAGCCTTGAATCTTGATATGGCAAATATGTTAGCTGTTGCAGACACAGGGCAACATGAGTCATGTTCTTGGCCACCCGATTCGTGTGAAATAGTAAAAACTCTCCCACTCCTGATGGAAATATCTGCCCTTTTAGCGGCTAAATCGTCTTACTTGGTTGGTCTTTCTGAGTTTGGCAAAGTCACAGTAGAAGCATAATAATGACAAGACAAATATTTTAAGTTGAATGCACTAAAGTATCGAATTCTGTCTTTTAATATGCAACATTATTAAATTATTAAGACGTTCAAGAATAAGCACCATTTAAATGTTGCAGCGGGTCATAATGGAGCTAATTTTACCTACTTTATATACAAACAACAATGCGCCATAGTTTACAACAAGATCATACGTTATTTAAAGTTATTGTTTGGGGAAAAAGGGAAAAAAAAGGAATGCCAAATAAATGTAGGAGTAAGAAGGTGGTGTAAGATATATATGTCCTATATAATACTTTTTTAAATGTAAAAGTACAAAAATGTTGCACAATATCAAAGAAAGTAAAGGAGGTCACTACACTCACAAACATGTTTTCCCTCCAAGTAATGCCATTATATTACTTCTAATTGCCATTACTGGCCTTTCACCTCGTCTAAGAACCAGTAGAAAAACATCAGTGTAGCAAACACAATTAAATGATACACTGGCGATATACCTTTGATACTCCTTGTTTAACATGGTTCATTTGGGGAAGGAACACAAAAGGTTGCAATTATCCCAAACACTTGAACAGTGAAAGTAGAAGTCATTATAATGTATAGTGGCCCCGCCCCCTGGCTCGTGCACACAGAGATGCTCTACTCATCCACAATAACTGTTTATAACCCACAGTCTATGTTTAAAACGTAACAAAAGCAGCTGGTTCAACCTTAAGCAAAAGTCTGTGTAGCTCATTTTGTCCAGCATTGTTAGTTATATATGTATGTATGACTATGTCCCGTAATGTCCGACTATCATTTAATATTTTCGAGGGTGTGTTACATTAATGTCAGTCGCTGAGCAAAGGAGATGACATTAAACATGTTGGAATTACCGGTTGTGTTTGTAGAAATATTAACAAATAGCACTAATATCTGTTAAAATGTGCAAACTTACCACCATGTACGCGACGAACTCTCGTCTCTCCATGCTCCGCTTTCAAAACCCTCTCTATTGTGTTGTTTTGCCCGTAAATATGCAACTGTTAAGCATGTTTGACACCCGGCTATAATCAACACATGCCTGTCAAGGACGCTGCCATCTTGGTTGGATCTCTTCCGTATTACGTCATGACGAAAGCTTATCACGTGACAGGGAAAGCAAAAATAAATACATCACGTTAAATCTGTGCTTTCTGCTTTAACTCTACCAAGAATATGCAAGATTTTGCATCGGTGATATCCAGTGGTGGGTAGTAACAACGTACATTCACTCAAGTACTGTATACCTGAGTTTTCTCAGTTTATCATGTGTATTATTTTATTATAATATGTTTGGGCCATTTAGTTTTATTATATGATATATTTATCATATTACATTTCCTTAAAGTTTTTATGATTGTATTATGTATTTTATTATTATTATTTAATGTTTTCCCATTTTATTTTATTATTTAAATCATTTTCGTATTACAGTGTTTTTCAATTGCTAAAATACTTTTTTTGACAACAGGGCTAATTTTGTCAAAACACTTTACACAATTCACAAAACCACACACCCAAAGTGCAAAGCACATCATATATCTCTTGCTAAATGAAGCACTGCACCCAAAACTACATAACGACTTACCAAAACGTTTGCAGCAAATGGCACACACTTCACTTATAGTATACAATACACTTTGTCCAACCAACTACACTACACACTGTGGTGCATTATCTAAAGCACACTCCTCTTTTATGGTGCTCTGTAGAGAATTCTGCATAAAAAGATTGTTCAAGTCGATATGGGCAGAAACACAAATATCGTTGTTATATACCAAAATAAATTGGTAAAACTATCCTGCACAACACATAGTTACAGTTGTGTAAACACAAACAATGCCTTTGTCAAATACAGGTAAGTATAAGGAAAACTTTGAGGAAAAATAAAAAATTATATTTTTAGAAAAAAACAGAGGAGAGAAAAATACTTGGGCAGCATTTTACGACCTCACTGGGTCTGACCACAGCTCCTCATCAACCTGCAGAAGAAGCATGTACCTGTAGGCCTGACTGTCATACAGCTCCAACCATTTTGCTGCAAATAACTCTTCAACTGACTTCATTTCATCCTCCCTTTCCCTCTTATCCTCCCTCTAACTCAGGGGTCTGCAAGTGCAACCCGCGGCTCGTAAACGGTGACGTCATGACGCAACAGAGACCAAGGAGCGAAGGAGTGTGATCATTTTGAGAGTTTTTTAAAGTAAGATGGGGATTTTTAATTATGAAGGAAAGCTAATAGGTTTGGTATGACACCGCAGTGGACTATTTGCAAAATAGTGCTACATTTGAGAGGGATATTTAAATTAAATGGGGAGGTTGATGATTTTCTTCCTTTTGTTAACACTGTGAAATAGGCATCTTCAGTTATTAGAAGACAATAGATTGTGCCTGCAAATGTCCATATACACCTTAAGTGTGAGTGTTTTGAAGCTGAAATACTTGAGGTGTCTACCTACATTTAATTTTCTAAGCCTATATTAGAGAACTACCTTTTGAAAGTGTGCACTTTATTCCCTCTGCCAAAGAGGTTATGTTTTTGGCTCTGTAGGTTGTTTTGTTGTTTACGCAGGATTACGAAAGACAACTTTTGATTCTGGAGCAAAGCCTTAGATTTCGTTTTTTGTACTACTCTTGCATATATCAGGTTTTGTATGTAACTTGGTAAAAGATTGTAGCATAAGTCAAGGAAGAATTCCATTTCATTTTCTAGGTAGAAAACAAGGTTTGTTTTATTCTTGTTTTTTATTTCTATACTGTATTCATTCACAACAGCTGTTAGGCAAATTGGAAATGGGAGGTATTTTTTTCTTTTTCTTTGCACATTGAGGGGGTGGGAGAATAGTGTTGGTTTTCTACTGTTTATTTACCTATTCTTTACCAGGTAGGTCAATAAGAAAACGTAAATTATTGGCGGATGTTGCATTCTTGAGACGTGACCATTCTCTACTCATAAAATGTGAGACAGGGAATTTGTCATGTGCCGACGTTTACACAAAGTAGGTATTGGAGAACGAGCAGCACAAGGAACACAGACCGTGGAAACATGGAGGGAAAACAATGGACCGACATGGAACACAGGGGAAGACTAGACTAAATACACAGAAGGGTAATCACAGGACAAGACACAGCTGGGCAGTGGAGGGAGAAACACAAGGGCAACAGGTGAACACAATGAGACAATCCGACACACCAGGGAAACTAACGACAGGGAGGAAGACAAAACAGACTTACACTAAAACCGTGACATAAACCTAGGAGTGTGACAGTGAGAAGACACAGAAGACTCACAAATGACCATCTCTTCTCACACGGACGTTCACACAGTATGATAAGTATTGGAGAATAGGGTTTGTTTTCTTCTGTTTCTTTACCTATTCTCTACAAGGTAAGTCATTAAGAAAACAGAAAGTCCTATACGGATGTGACTTTGGGTCACATGCCGATGTGTCCTTGAGCAAGACACTTTAGCAGAAATCGCTCCCGTATGCATGTCTACGGTATTGAAGTGTTTGTAATGTAATATGTTCCAAATGTTCAACTGGAGGAACAACAACCTTTTTTTATTGCGGAAAAAGGAAGGTTAGTTTCAGTAGACAACTCAAGTGTACCGCTGTTTGCATATTGAGGGGGTTGGAGAATAGGATTTGTTTTCTTATGTTTATTTTTCCTATTCTCTACCAGGTAGGTCATTAAGAAAACAGAAATTATTGGCGGATGTTGCATTCTTGAGACGTGACCATCTCTACTCGTAAAATGTGATACAGGGAATTTGTCATGTGCCGACGTTTACACAAAGTAGGTATCGGAGAATAGGGTTTGTTTTCTTCTGTTTCTTTACCTATTCTCTACAAGGTAAGTCATTAAGAAAACAGAAAGTCCTATGCGGATGTGACTCTGGGTCGCATGCCGATGTGTCCTTGAGCAAGACACTTTAGCACAAATCGCTCCCGTAAGCATGTCTACGGTATTGAAGTGTTTGTAAGTCGCTCTGGATAAAAGCGTCAGTTAAATGACATGTAATGTAATGGGTGAGTGTCAGGGTGCGTGGAAAAGATAGGACCCAAATGCATAATTTAACAAAAAGCGAGCTTTATTAAATCATAAAAGCTGTGGCAAAAAGGCAGTATCCAAAATATCCAAAAAACAAACGAGCAGCACAAGGAACACGGACCGTGGAATAACATGGAGGGGAAAACAATGAACCGACATGGAACACAGGGGAAGACTAGACTAAATACACAGAAGGGTAATCACAGGACAAGACACAGCTGGGCAGGGGAGGGAGAAACACAAGGGCAACAGGTGAACACAATGAGACAATCCGACACACCAGGGAAACTAACGACAGGGAGGAGGACCAGACAAAACACAAGGAGGAAGACAAAACAGACTTACAAAACCCATAACCAGACAGACAACACTAAAACCGTGACATAAACCTAGGAGTGTGACAGTGAGAAGACACAGAAGACTCACAAATGACCATCTCTTCTCATACGGACGTTCACACAGTATGATAAGTATTGGAGAATAGGGTTTGTTTTCTTCTGTTTCTTTACCTATTCTCTACAAGGTAAGTCATTAAGAAAACAAAGTCCTATGCGGATGTGACTTTGGGTCACATGCCGATGTATCCTTGAGCAAGACACTTTAGCAGAAATCGCTCCCGTAGGCATGTCTACGGTATTGAAGTGTTTGTAATGTAATATGTTCCAAATGTTCAACTGGAGGAACAACAACCTTTTTTTTATTGCGGAAAAAGGAAGGTTAGTTTTAGTAGACAACTCAAGTGTACTGCTGTTTGCATATTGAGGGGGTTGGAGAATAGGATTTGTTTTCTTATGTTTATTTTCCTATTCTCTACAAGGTAAGTCATTAAGCAAACAGAAATTATTGGCGGATGTTGCATTCTTCAGACGTGACCATCTCTACTCGTAAAATGTGAGACAGGGAATTTGTCATGTGCCGACGTTTACACAAAGTAGGTATCGGAGAATAGGGTTTGTTTTTTTCTGTTTCTTTACCTATTCTCTACAAGGTAAGTCATTAAGAAAACAGAAAGTCCTATACGGATGTGACTCTGAGTCGCATGCCGATGTGTCCTTGAGCAAGACACTTTAGCAGAAATCGCTCCCGTAGGCATGTCTACGGTATTGAAGTGTTTGTAAGTCGCTTTGGATGAAAGCGTCAGTTAAATGACATGTAATGTAATGTGTAAGAAGACACAGAAGACTCACAAATGACCATCTCTTCTCACAAGGACGTTCACACAGTATGATAAGTATTGGAGAATAGGGTTTGTTTTCTTCTGTTTCTTTACCTATTCTCTACCAGGTAAGTCATTAAGAAAACAGAAAGTCCTATGCGGATGTGACTTTGGGTCACATGCCGATGTGTCCTTGAGCAAGACACTTTAGCACAAATCGCTCCCGTAGGCATGTCTACGGTATTGAAGTGTTTGTAATGTAATATGTTCCAAATGTTCAACTGGAGGAACAACAACCTTTTTTTATTGCGGAAAAAGGAAGGTTAGTTTCAGTAGACAACTCAAGTGTACTGCTGTTTGCATATTGAGGGGGTTGGAGAATAGGATTTGTTTTCTTCTGTTTCTTTACCTATTCTCTACAAGGTAAGTCATTAAGAAAACAGAAAGTCCTATGCGGATGCGACTCTGGGTCGCATGCCGATGTGTCCTTGAGCAAGACACTTTAGCACAAATCGCTCCCGTAGGCATGTCTACGGTATTGAAGTGTTTGTAAGTCGCTCTGGATAAAAGCGTCAGTTAAATGACATGTAATGTAATGGGTGAGTGTCAGGGTGTGTGGAAAAGGTAGGACCCAAATGCAGAATTTAACAAAAAGCGAGCTTTATTAAATCATAAAAGCTGTGGCAAAAAGGCAGTATCCAAAATATCCAAAAAACAAACGAGCAGCACAAGGAACACGGACCGTGGAATAACATGGAGGGGAAAACAATGAACCGACATGGAACACAGGGGAAGACTAAATACACAGAAGGGTAATCACAGGACAAGACACAGCTGGGCAGGGGAGGGAG